ATTTTTTCCTACCATTGTTAATAGTTTGAATGTTATGAAATAATACCCAATCTTCAGTAGAGTGTTTAATTTGTGGTGCAAGAGAACAATATAGAAAAGATACATAATATTGTGTTTATTCATTCTACTGACATAAGAGTTGCTGGACTTGTAGGTACCACTATAATGTTGCAGACTCGAGGTTGCGCCAGCACATTGAAAAGGGCAATGAAGATGGATTGCTGATAAGCTGTGTCGCTTCTGCAGCAAATCTTTGGGCCCTAATCATGGATGCTGGAACAGGTTTCTCTTCCCAGGTTTATGAGTTGTCAGCTGTGTTCCTACACAAGGTTACATCAAATCACAGAGCTTTATTTTGATAAATTTTAGTTTCTTTCAGTGTTTCCATGTAACTTTACTGTGTTAAATAATCTGGATTATAATTTGATTCTTGTCAGGATTGGATTATGGAGCAATGGGAAAAGAATTTTTATATTAGTTCAATCGCTGGAGCAGCTAATGGTAGTTCCCTTGTTGTTATGTCAAAAGGTAAGTGGCCTATTCCTCTTAAGTTTTAAGCATTTTAATTCAGATGTAATGATATTTGGAATTGATCGATTCTTCAGATTCTTCTCTTCATACCCACCCATGTTTTACTTGATACTTGATCTGAATCATATTTTTTTGTTACAAGAAACAAAAGTATTTAATAGATCGCAAAAAGTTGAGTTACAAAAAGACTCTTCAATTGACTATGATTAAAGATGAGTACTTATATAAAGAATCAGATAAAAATACATCCCCAATGTACCGCTTAAGCCCTTTCCATCCTTGGAAGATTCTCATGTTTCTCACCAATTAAACTCCCATAAAAAAAGCCATAGTCGCAAACTTTCAATAAACCAAAAAACCCTCACCTTATTTTTGAACCCATCACCACATAACAGCAACAAATAAAGCTTCTGTTGATTCACAAATGAAGAGCTAAGAAGAGCTACAAGTGTCTAGCTACGGATGAAACCCTCAAAGTGAAAAGGCAGTTCAGGAAAAGATGATACACATCTGTGCCACTGTTCTTCGAGAGGAAGCACCAGCTTTTGGGGAACTACATCTATAGGGATTGCTAGTTGAATTTTGTTAATAGGTATTTAACCCTTGGAGGCTGACTGTCCACAAGAATACCAAACATTTTTAACAATAGTTTTCTAACTGGGCAGTTCAACTGCTTCTGCTGTTGTAAGTTTATTGAGAAGTGATTCGGGTGAAAACTTTGCCCCCTTTGTCTCGCAGCCACACTCTTATCCATCCCTATGCTGAGCATGCTGGGAGTTACTTTTTTTTTTTTTAATATTTGTGTGTCAGGGCCAACTTACACCTCGACTAATCTCATGGGACAACCATTCATTAATAGTCAAGAAAACTCTTAGAATACTAAATCCTAGGTAGGTAGCCACTCTTGTTTGAACCCATTGCTTCTGAACACTTGACTTTTTTTCCCATTAGCATTAATGATCACTAGGCTAATGCATGGTAGTTTTGGGAGTTACCAATCCTAGGGAGAGCACTCCGCTCTTTTCCTACCATTGAGCTGGCTTCTAAACAATGTTTTCCCAGCTCCTTATTCCACAGACTTCTGAAGGCTACCGTCCTTGATACAGTCTATGGGAGATATTTTTCTTTTCAATTGGGTTATCTCCAAGTGGTGCTAATCTTCATTTTTTAATTAAAAAAAAAAAACTTTTTTTTATCACTATCAGCATGTGTTTTTATAGGTTTCGGCATAACCTTGCAGGAACACCTTATACCCAGCAATCCTACAAAGTCAGCGAATCTTTTCCTTTCAAGTGGATAAATAAGAAATGGAAGGAAGGATTCCATGTCACTTCCATGACCACTGCTGGAAGTCGTTGGGGGGTGGTTATGTCGAGGAATGCTGGATTCTCTGATCAGGTATGGTTTTCTATGAATTTAGAAATTTTTGTTTGTTCAAACTTTTGCTAAATTTCTTCTGAAATACTCTTTTTATGGTTCTTGTCCTGTTGGAATCAACCACTCAAGGTTGTGGAGCTTGATTTTTTGTACCCAAGTGAAGGCATTCACCGCAGATGGGAGAGCGGTTACAGGATAACCTGCATGGCAGCTACTGCAGATCAGGCTGCCTTCATTTTAAGCATACCGAAACGCAAATTGATGGACGAAACTCAAGAGACTCTGCGTACATCTGCGTTTCCGAGCACACATGTGAAGGTACAAACACTTCTTCATAATGATGAATCTGAAAATGAAAAATGTTCTCATTCATTCTCGAGAATATGACCACGACACCTACCCCCTTCCAACCACTGTTGCTCTCTAATCTCGAGTTTCTTGCATCGGAGTTTTATTAATTACATAAAAACAGAAAATGCTTACCCAAAATGAAATACTCGATGCATAAACCACACGGATTACCTGATTCACTTTTAGCAATTTTGTGGTATCTGCTGAACCCATGTGTCTTATAAGCAAATCTTTACGAGTTAGTAGTGATGGATGGTTTCTGCAATATGTTGTTTTTGCAGGAGAAGTGGTCGAAGAATCTCTATATTGCATCGATATGTTACGGGCGGACGGTTTGCTAATTATAATTGATGGACAGTGTAATTTGTATGTATATTTTGGTATGCCCCAGCAGAAAGGGGAAAAAAGTGAAAACAGAACAAACCTTTTTTAAAAATGTGGAAGCTGAGAGAGTTGAGCTGATTCAAGATGGTGGGATTTGGGAGAGAAAAATGGAGGAGGAGGAGAAGAGGAATATGATCAATTGGTTTGAAAATTCATGCCCCATTCTATTAGTTAACATTTTTAGTGGAGGAAGAAGAGGCAAAGGCAAGAGGAGGATTGTTGGAAAGGGAAAAAACAAAGAAATCTTGTGGAGTTATGATGACCAAATTGTGGTCTTAAATGCCCCCACTATGGCTTCTAAATGAAAAGAAGAAAAAAAAAAGACAAAGTTTTGTACAACTTTGATTGATTTCAACCCCTCTTTTAGTCTTTTACCATGTAAAGCCTTCAAATTTAACATGAAAAAAATGGGCTTCTTTCCCATTCTTCCATCAATTATTTGATTTTAGTCATTTTAACCATAAAGATGAAAGTGTGTTGATGAAATGCTTGCTCATTTGGTTGATAAGGATGTAGGAGGATGTTGAGGGAAATGATCTTTTCTTTTCTTTTTTCTCTCTTTCTTTCTTTTTCCTTTTCATTTTGGTCTTTCAACTTTTTAAAAACTTGCTAGGATAACTAATATGATAAGCTACATGAGAGTTTTGCAGGTTGTATTAGATGAAAAACACGAGTTCGAGTTGGTTTTAAGATGTTAAGAGTTTATTTGGTAACGCTTTTGTTTTTTTTATCTCATTTTTTAATAAAGAAAAATAGTAATGCGGTTGGTAACTCATTCTAGTTTCTTGGTTTTCATAATTTTAAATTAAAAAAATAAAAGTTTTATATGAAAATTAATTTTTAAAATTAAGTATTACGCATTTCTTTACAATTTTATTTTTATTTTTAGAAATGATAAAATGATTTTTATTATTTTTTTCTTTAAAAATGATATTTTTATTTATGTTTGGAAAAAATGAAACAAGAAATTTCTTTTGTTGTTTCCACAAGTTTAAAATATTTTTTAGAAAATAAAAAAAATTGAGAAATAGGAATAATTATTAAACGCTTATATTTCAATGCAATGAACGATGTTTATTGAGATTTTGTCACTCGGTTTGTTTTTCATTTCTATACTTTGACTAAAAGGTTACATGTGATGATAAAATTTTTAAGAGCATTTGAACTAAAATTAAGGTTAAAGACTAAGCTAACGGTCTAATTTACTACTTTTTATTTAAATGTGTGAATCAATATTTTTCCAACTATTTAAAAATTTAATTCAAAACTCTCTCTGTTTTATGAGGGAGTCTTTGTTAGAAAAGGATTTCACGATATAATCTTTATATAATCTCTTCTCTCTTTTGGGACTACACATTCGAGGACTCATAAATTCCTTTAGCATTTTTAATAAAAGAGAAAAATTCTCATATGTTGTAAAAGAGAGATTAAATCCCTCTAAGATTAGTTTGTCGTAGAGAATGAAATTAAGAATTTGATCTGTGTCGAGTCATCATTTGTTCAATATAAAATTTCATTTTCGATTTAGTTTTTGTATCGATTTGAGTCGATATGTATGTTGGATTTACCTTCCTAGTTGTCCAACTCAACTTCTTGTTCTTATATTCAATTGAATATTGGTCAAATTGGCATAGAAAAAATATATTATAGGTTTAAATCTTATTTTGGTTTATGAACTTTGATTTGTATTCATACTTAGCTTTTATAATTTTTAATTTATATAAGAGCTATTTTAATATTTGTTATAAAATCTAGAGATTAAGACATAACATTTGAAAGTCGAGGGACTAAAATATAATATAATATTTAAAAGTATAAGTACAAAATGAATAAACATCAAACTTGTCAAACTAGGATTTTAACCTTAATTGTATTAGAAAACCTAAAAATAAACAAAAAATTTAGAGGCCAAATTATATAAAACGTCATTGATTTACTAGGTTGGTTTCAATTTTGACAATAAATTTTTAAGAAGTTTTAATCTTAAAAGCTCAATCTTTAAATTTGATTTGGAAAATCTATGAGTTAGCCCTTTCTTTTAAAATGGAAAATTAAAACTTTAGGCGAGATTAATAATCCCAAGCTATACACATGTATAACATATTTCACAAATTCACAAATTTAAATTATAGTAGAAATTGGTAAATTAACTTAACTAATTTTTTTTGATGGAAAATTAACTTAACCAGTTAAGATATTACTGAATTCTCGACTTTATTCCACTCAAAAAAAGAAAGAAAAATGAACCACATAAATTTGCATTTTTTAATAATTTAACCAACTTTAAATAATGAAAAATAGAAGGAAAAGAAAAAGGAATTAAAGTAAAATAAATATAAAANATTTACCGCTAAATTCCACCCCATAAAACCCTAAAAACCCTAGCCAGAGATTCTGCGGCGAGCCTCTGATAAAAAATCTCCCTCGTTTTTGCACAGCAGGTGAAGAAGAATGCGACCTCCAAGAGGCGGCGGCGGCTTCAGGGGAGGCCGTGACGGTGGTTTCGGAGGTAGAGGAGGAGGCCGTGGCGGCGGCGGCCGGGGAGGTGGCCGCTTTGGTGGTCGTGGCGGCGGAGGTTTCCGTGATGAGGGTCCTCCGGCTGAAGTCGTTGGTTCGTCTCTCCCGTTACTTCTAAAAGCTTTCTGTTTTGCTTCCTATTTCGTGCTTCTTTGCTTTGATGATATTTTAAGAAGAGGTTTAATACAATAGTTTTTTCCCACTTTTATTTTACAATGCGATGTTCAGTTCGGCTCCTTAAGACTAATTATATCCAGATGTTTTACTAGTTTGATCGTTTTTTAAAAAAGTATGGGTTTTTTTTATTTACTTTTGTTATCTTCTTCGTTTTACTGTGTGCATCTCTATAATGATTCTTTCTGTTGCAGAGGTTTCGACTTTTCTTCACGCATGTGAGGGAGATGCCGTCACAAGGCTCACAAATGAAAAGATTCCTTTCTTTAATGCCCCAATCTATCTTCAGAATAAGACCCAGATAGGTAAAGTTGATGAAATTTTCGGCCCCATCAATGAATCTGTGAGTCCACTGGCCTTTTTGATTTTGTTAGTCGTTTAGTCTTGTTGGGTGTAGTTTTGATATATGATGAATCCTTGTTTTCTTTCCTGATTGCAGTATTTCTCGATCAAAATGATGGAAGGAATTGTCGCCACCTCGTATACTTCTGGGGATAAATTTTATATCGATCCGGCAAAACTTTTACCTCTCGCTAGATTCCTCCCACAACCAAAGTATGTAGTCCATCTCCTCCCTTTCCCTACATCAAATGAGGCCTAGAATTGAAGTCACTATCAAGTGATTGCTCATGTACATTTATATTGAGTGGTTTTATAAGGGCTTTCATGATGCCGCATTTAGAAAAGGGTTTTCATGGTGCCAGCTCCTCAGCCTCCTCTTAGTTTTATGTATTGGCTCACTGCACAAATTCTGTTTACAGGTCATTTGTACTATTGCACGTCCTTAACTAGGTTTTGCTTTTTCTTTCTATTATCTTATTTGGTTCAGGAATAAGGGTTGGATAGAATTTTAGGTTAGCATCTTTGTTATTTTCCTTTGTTTATATTGAAATCTTGAATGGAGGTGGGGTGATAAGTGAAAGATTCAATTGTAGTTGTAACTCGTCTACAAATTGTGTAAAATCACGGGAAACTGAAATAGGGTTGCTTTCCTGAATAAGCCTATCTTCATTGCCAGTTTGTTTAAAAAATCTTGATCTTGTGTCTCAAAAGTACTTAGATCCTATATATATGGTACCAAATTTTCATAATCTTAACAAACCATGTAGCTTCATTTTATGATTGTGTGTTTCAAAAGTGCTTAGATTCATGTAACTCTTGATGGTTCTTTTCCTTTTGTGTGCTTCTGGTTCTTAGTGGCTCAGGCTCTACTGTGTACTTGAGACAAACAATCTAGTTTACTGCTAGGATTTACCCTCTGGCCTCTTTGAATGGCTCTCAGCATGTTTCCCCTTTCAATTCAGTATCCAAATTTTGATAGTTGACCATAGAAGGGTTTAGAACTTCTTTATTAATTGACGAGCATCAAAGAACCACTGAGTAATGTTTATGTTGGCTTTCGTGTATAAATAATTTTGATGGTTGATCATTATTTCAGGGGCCAGTCTGCCGCAAGAGGTGGAGGCCGTGGTGGTGGCAGAGGTGGTTTCAGAGGTGGTCGTGGGGGTGGTGGTGGCTTTCGTGGAAGGGGTGGCCCAAGAGGCGGCAGAGGTGGCCCTCCAAGAGGTGGCGGGCGTGGTGGTGGCTTTAGGGGTAGAGGAAGATTCTAGAATAGCATTATGTACCATCATTGTTCTATCAATTTTCCATTTGCAATGTCATTCTGAGGAGCGTTTGCAGCAGGCTTTTGTTTGTACTGTATTTTGTTTAGCATTGAACTTATTGGTATTTAAGATACTAAATCTAATTCTGCTGCAAATTTTAAAGTCTTAGAACTGCTATTTTGCTATCTGTTCTTGAATATGATATACGGATTAAGTTGGGATGGAAGAAGAAATCAATTGTCATATTTTGCTTATTGCTGAAACTTCACAGTGCTGCGTGTTTCAACAGAACAATAACTCGTTGTCTCCATATCTTATGGTACTGTCGAGAAATTATTCTCATTTCTTTTATAAGGACAAGAATTCATGAATGAGACATTAAAGTTTGTAAGCAAATGAATGGCTGAAGCCCTAGAAGCTTTAGAGGGCAACCCTTCTCTTATCCAGACTCAATCCACAGATCTATTAATAGGTATTAAAAGGAAGCAAAACTACGCCACCAATCTGGCGTTTTATAGGGCAGAAATGACAATCCTTGCATGCTTGTGCAATAAAAACAACTAATCCTATGAAATAAAGGGTGTTGTATGCAGAATATGACAGGAAAGGAAGCGCCATTGGGGCGAGGGAGTGCAGCACCTCCCTTTTATTTAGAGCTTGAGAGAAGCAGCTTCTCAGGCTTCCCAACCCCTAAGCACAGTGGCCCTGGCGACACGGTTGACACCGAGTGTAAAAGCTCCCATGCGGAGATCACAATTGTGGGTTCTGCACATCTCCTTCACATCTTTGAAGCCCTTTGTCATGTAAGTCTTCAGCTCATTGTTTACCTTTTCTTCCTCCCACATGAAACCTTGGATGTTCTGCAATTTTGCTTGTTCAAATTGAGTTGTCAGTATGTGTTATCTGTTTTGGAAACGAGTTAGTGAATGAATGAATAAAAAGTGGATACCTGAACCCATTCAAAGTAGCTAACTGTAACTCCTCCTGAATTTGCATAAATATCTGGGAGAATAACAACTCCTTTTTTTGACAAGATCTGTAGATGACAAAAATGCTATGAATATCTGATTTTTGTTAATATCTTCATTTGGTCTGATGTTCATTTATGTTCTCACCTCGTCAGCCTCTGGGTCTGTTGGGTGGTTGGCTGCTTCAATTATGAACTTGGCTTTGATTTCATTAGCATTTTCCTTGTTGATGACGCCTCCGAGGGCTGCTGGTATTAGTATGTCACAGTCCTCAACCAAAATAGATTTGGGATCAATTGGATTCGCCCCTTCGAAACCTTTTACTCCTCTGTGTTCATTTGCATGCTTTACTAAGCTCAGAATATCTATTCCATTGCTATTCTTTATGGCTCCTGTTACATCACTTATTGCTACAATCTTCCCCCCATTTTCACTGATCAGTCGGGCTGCCCATGATCCCACATTGCCAAAACCCTGACATATCAGTTCATATTTCCAATTAGAATAGAATTGTATATATTGATGTTAGCTTGAACCAGGAATTTTCTAGTAGCAACAAGGTAAAAGTGTGTGCCTGAATGACAAATCTTTGACCAGATATGCTCTTTCCATGCTCATTTAGTAGGGCCTCTGTTGCGTACAACACGCCTCGCCCCGTTGCTGCATCTCTGCCCAAAGACCCACCCAGATCCTAGTTTGGCGAAAGTCAATTTCGATAAGACGTGTTAATTATAATGTATGAAGTTGTGGCTTATCAGTGACTTACAATTGGCTTCCCCGTTACGACTGCTGGTGAGTAGCCATGGAACTTAGAATACTCATCTAGTATCCACGCCATTGTCTATTCAAATGAACACACTCAGATTAGGATGGAGACAATCTGAAAACTGAAAGTAAAACAAACCCAAGTACTTCAAATAAAGTTTGATTGTGTATATGTAATCAACCTGTGGACCTGTCCCCATATCGGGTGCTGGAACATCGGTGTGGACACCAACAAGATCGTGTATCTTTTGAGTGAAAACTCGTGTAAGGCGCTCCAGCTCTGAGATGCTTAGTTCCCCAGGATCACATCCTATCCCTCCCTTGGCTCCACCATAGGGTATATTTGCAACTGCTGTCTTCCATGTCATCAATTGTGCTAAAGCATTTACCTCATCAGGATCAACCTGCATTGGAAATCATATTACTTGTATAAATTATAACAGCAACTATGACTCCAGATCGTCAAGGTCTTTGGTTCAAGCCTAGGTTGAAAATTTAATAACTTAAAACTTTTCTTGTCTCCTAAAGTTAGCTTCTTTGAAAATTAGAAGGGAATGAGCCATGAGCATAATACAAGGAGTCGTGCCCCCGACACCCAAATCATAAGAAGATAATAAAGACTCTGGTTCAGAAGAAACAAACAAACCTCCGGGTGATATCTAATCCCTCCCTTCATGGGTCCTCTTGCATTGTCATGCTGCACCCTGAATCCAACAAAGGATGCCAAGGAGCCATCATCTTTGGGTATGGTACACTCAACCTGTCATATTCAAAAGGCTTATTAAAATTACTAATATGTCTTTGGAAGATGCATCCTTCTGAACTGTTGAATTAGTACATGTCTGTGTTTCTGATAGTATCTAGTCAATTAAACAAACAAACAGCCACCAGAAGAACCAAACCTTGATTTCTCTAAATGGAATGAGCAAGCTCTTTTCGAGCTTCGAGTCGAGACCCAGAAGCCTAGCAGCAAGCTTGAAGTTTCTGTTGGTAGCCGCTAGTGCATTCATGGTTGATTCCCGGGATTATCTAGAAGTGTAACCTGCAGCTGCAGCTGCTTTGTAGAAAACAAAGTCAGTTCTCTTGGTATATGTAATAACAAACTACCCAGTGGAATGGAAAACAAAATGACAAAAAAGAATATAAAGCTCATCCAAGTCAAGCCTCATGGAAATATGCTTAAATCCAGTTGAAGATATGATGAGCTTTGAACCTTGAAAATTCTCAAGAGCCAATGTCATTAGTTAAAAATCCCAAGCCAAGGCATACAAACTAAGGATACTGATGTATTTCTAAGCAAGTGGTAGCCATTTATATGAATAGATTCAGTCCAAAACCCTCAAACGAAAGCTGAGTTATAGTGTGGCAAGTTTGAATGTTATTATCATACTTCTGATAGAACAATATTCCAGATTCATGAATCCGCCTCTTGACATCAAGAACAATTCATCTTTTTCCTTTTGTCTTGCCAAAAGATTCTACTGAACCACAAACCTTGGGATCTGCTGAGTGGTGGTTTGGCTGTCAAGCTTTTGTAGATGAACGTGTTTATTCACTTTGATATTTGTAACAAGAAATAGTATGTTTCCTGAGTGCTTTTTCAATAGTCCCTCTGTTTAAAATATTCCAATTTAGCTCCTTTTGTTCTAATACTTTTCATGTACACATTTTTATCGGCAACTGTTAAAATTAGCTGATGATAAGTTTCCATGACTTGATCCTTAATGAGTTTCGACAACTGTTAAAATTAGCTGATGATAAGTTTCCATGACTTGATCCTTAATGAGTCGGTAGAAATTTAGAGAGGGGTACATGAGAGGAAAAAGGGAAGTTTTAGTCCTGCAAAATTTTCTAAGAATTTGGTAGAAAGTTTTGACTTTTCTTCTTCTAGTAGCCTAATTTTTCCTTTAAATTTTTACTAAACCACTAAGTATCATGTCACATACATATATAATTTCATAGACAATTTTTACATTCACCGACGTGAAGGGTATAAAATAATTAGAACATCAGGAATGCGATTAAATCGAAATAGTTTAATCAGTAAGGACTAAATTAAAAAAACAAAAAACTAAACATTAGGGACTAAAATATATATTTAGGAATATAGACTTGATTAGATGATGAGTCTAAAATCATATTTGGGGTTTTGTTTGTTCTAACAGATAACCTATTTTTTTAGAACACCAAAGCTGTTATTTCCAACAAAATATGAAAGCTTGTGGACACTCTGCACAGTTCTACTGTATAATTTTTGAAAATGAGATTTCTTTTTCTAGGGAATTTATTCCATGAATATAAGTAACAGAATCCAACCCAAGTGGTGGATTTTTCACATCATGAAAATAGGCCAAAACTATTGAAAACATTTTTCATGTGCATTTTTTCCAGTATTTGCACGCATTATTGAGGATCTATTCTATATGCTGATCAATTGTCTAATGTTCATAGATTTTCAACTTCAAGAATCTTGTTTTAAATGTGATCATGTTTATCACTCTAATTTCTAAACATTTATTTTGGTACCCCTTGGTGCATTTGACAGGAATCTTATAAAACATTGGACATATGTCACACGTTAGACATAAGATTCGGAAGTTTAGAGACTAATTAAAATTAAATATTACCAAAATAGGACTTATACTAACGAAACAAATGTGGATAGGAATGATTCTCTTTTCCAATATTACATATACATAGTACAGAAGTTATTTTGTCATTGTAAACAGAGAAACTTTAAGTATTTGTTTACTAATATTGAAAGGGAAACTCTGTTTCATATTTGCAGATAGAGAGGGAGAGAGCTGACCTCACTGCTAGCTCCAAATAAAGAAAAGGAAGCAGAGAGAGGAAGCAAACACATTGGCTATGTACCTTAGAAAGTGGAGAGCTCAATCTAAGCCTTCTCAGAAAGGGAAACAGTGATGGAAAAAGGTTCAATTACAGAAGATCAGAGCAGTGGTTTCTGATGAATTATGAGCTTCCCTCCAAGGTATCCATTTATAAACACAAGGAAAAAAAAGAAAGAAAAAAACCCTACAAAATAAATCAAATGGCAGAATCAGATTCCAATTCCTTATGGGATTATACATCCATCTCCTCCACCAGTCTTTGCCAAACTCATATCCATTTGCAGACCCAACATGAAAAATTTTTCAGACTCACAGAGAGAGGAGAATATGAATATTGAGAATATAGTGCAATCTCACTCTCTGACTCACATACCCACAAATGCACTCATTCTATCTCTATCTCTCTCTCTTATATAGGTTACTTTATCTCTCTTACCTAGATTATTTCTCTTTCTCTAGATCGTAAGATTTTTCTGCCCATCATTAAATTTTTGACAAGCAGGAAATGGGAACACTGGGAATGAGGGAGAGGAGAGACTTTTCTTTCAAATAATGAATAGAGTAAAAAATTTAGTTGTGGTTAGTAGAAAGTTTATGTTGCCTCGTCAGCAGGAAAGTATCTTTTTCTCCTCTTTGCTTTTCTCTCTCTCTTGTATAGCTTACTTTCTCTCTTGAATAGCTTACTTTCTCTCTCTTACCTAATTCACTTCTCCTTCTCTCTCGGACAATACTTTCCTAAAGACTAAGATAATAAGATTTTTGTTGCCCACCATTATGTTTTTGACAAGTAGGGGAGTAGAACGTAGGAAAGGGAGTGGAAGGGAGCGAAAAGAGAGACTTTTTTCTTTCAAAAATCAATACAGGGTAAAAAATTTAATTGTGGGTACTAGGTAGTAGAAAATTCATGCTGCCTAGTAAGCAGGAAAGTATTTATCTTCTCTCTCTTATATAAGCTTAATTCCTCTCTCTTGTATGGTTTACTTTATCTCTTGCCTAGCTTACTTCTCAACAATACTTTCCTGAAGAGTAGGATAACAAGATATATCATTCTCTCTTGAACAATACTTTCTTGAAGAGTAGGATAACAAGATATATGCTACTCACTGTTAAGTTCTTGATAAGTAGAAGAGAGTAACACAAGCAGGAAGCGAAATAAATGAATACGAATACAAAATTTAGTGGTAGGTAGTAGAAAATTAACGTGCCTAAATGAGTGGGAGAGTGGGAAAGTATCTTCCTTTTTTTCTCTTTCTCTTGTATAGCTTACTTAGGCCTCAGTTTAGTGAGTTCCAGCTCATATTTCCACTCTTCTTTTTCTCTCTTGCAGTCTTCAATTTGGGAAGGTAGATGGGTTGGAGTGAGAAGCAGGGCTCTGCTTCCTTCATTTCTTGTTGCTAATGGGGAATATGGAGAACCAAGTATGGTTGCTTTCTGTAAAGGTATGCAGTCAATTATAGATGCATCATCATCTGATGATGTTGCTTATTCAATTTTGTATGCAATGTAGTGCATGTATGCATCATCGTAGGACTAAGTCTCTTTTCATATTAGTATGATATTGTTCTATTTCGACTTACGCTCGTTTAATTTTTTATTTTAGATTATGCGTACCTAATATGAGTCGTATTGGTGTAGAAGGTGTCTTTTTATAAACCTGTTTGGGGCAATTGCAAATATGGCAAAAACATTTAGTAAGATTAGCAAAATAGTAATCCCATTTAATTTTTTCAAATATAGCACATTTTTTTTTTAAAAACGGATGTCCAATTCTAAAATGACAATTTTATCGAAATGATATATATCTATAATATATCAGTAATATATTTAGCTACTGATATATGTATGTGATATACATTTGATATACTACTGATATGAGTGTTTGATATACTTGCAATATGTATGTAATATATATCTAATATACTAATGATATGAGTGTCTGTGCAATATGTATATAATATAAATCTAATATACTACTGATATGAGTGTCTGATATATTATTGATATACTACTGACATGAGTATCTGATATCCTACTAATATAAGTTAAAATTTTTGCTATATTTGAAAATTTTAAAAACATGCGACATATTTTGAAATACATAAAAGGTTTTTGCTATCCATTGCCATTTCCCCTACTGTTTTTTTTTTTTATTTCAAGCATATTGATCTTTAATTCATAAACTATTGGACATCTCTTCAAATAATCATCTATTGAATCGATTACTTGTTCATTAGAGTTTTACGTATCAATGATTATATTTTTCAAATTAATTTGAACTCACTTTTGTTTTTCATACGTGAAAAAAATATTTTAAATATAGTATATTAGAGTTATGCTAATGAGATAGAACTCAAAGTTAGAAAAAATTGGATTACCTGTTATCCAATAAACAGAAATACATCAACTAATTTTTTCCGAAGAAATTTTCTAGGATCGTCGTGAGAGACTATTGTTGATGAGAAAAAAAAATTGTTAGTATAGTTCTCTTATGTTGATGATGAGCTATGTCGATGACAAAATCATTCGTCCTACCTCTATTTAGTCAGATGGGGAGCAACTCAAGGTGGATGATACGTGTGCATCAATTCATATAAGATTTTATATAAATTTGATATGGGAATAAGTTCCACTTGAATAGACAAGAAATGGTCTCTTGTTCCTTTATTTTCACACACCATCCCAAAAAGCTGATCAAAAGAATAAGAATATGTTCATTAGCTACCTTGTCCAATTTGGCCTATCTTTCAACTTTATTACACAACATTAATTTCCTCTCTCCAAATTGCACTTAATTTTGAAACCAACCAATCCCAAATGAGATACAAATCAATGGTTTTGTGGGTCAAAAAGGACATTTTACAAGATGAAAAAGTAGCAACATTATCACCCACACTCATTTCTATTATGTTTAGAGCTTTTTTATGGGTTAATCTTTTTTTATCATAAGATCTAAATACTAAATTATTTTCCCTTTGAAGGCCAAACTACAATTGTAAAAATATTTTCAAAGAGTAGATAACAAAAATAAAAAATAAAGATGTTAGGGGTAAATAAGTTCAATTTTTAGGAACCAAACTAATTATATGTAAGTAAAGAATTATTGGATGCTTTACTAAGTAAAATTGAAACGCCAAAGACCATTCATATTGATTAGTTCAAATAAAAATAGAGAAAAAATGATCTCGCCTGAATTCATTGAAGTGATATTATCCTACCAATATGATGTTTCATTACATAGACTTTTCTCCAAGTTTCAATTAAACTTTATAGAAGTAAATGAATTTCTCAATGCTTCATCTTCGTTAGAAATCCAAAACCCATTTGACTAATATAATTATATTAATATGTTAGCTCACTGTTGAATGAATTTGTGTCCCTTATGTGTAAGTATACACTGTCGTTGTGACAAGTAATAAAAAGTTCGAATCCACAGATAATGCTTACTAAACATATTTAAACGCAATATTTTGGACAACAGAAACAAAGAGGATAATATAAGAAATAAATGCTACGGTGCTCAGTGAATACAATAAACTTGAATTTAACTTGAATTTGAGTAGTTTTTTTTTAAAAGGAAAGTAGACAATAAAATGGTTAACAACTGACTTTTTAAAAGGGCAAGGGGGAAAGTTGAATGTGACATTTTCTGGGCTACACAAACGATGCTATAGCACTAACAACGTTGAAATATTGGCCAAACAGACTTGGAGTCTTCCTAGACGTCCTAGATTTTCTACTATTAGGGTTTTTAGACAAACTCAACAACATATGATAATAGTTTATTGCCGTGCTAGGTGAGTCCTATTCCTAAGTACCAACTCTCTAACTCAAGCAGATTCTAGCATAAATTGAAGTTTATCACTCCCTATTACACTTTTCCAAGAGTTAACAAGGAGATATTCCAACAATGGTGATCAAGTATGCTGAAAGTAAACTTTAAACACAACTTCAACTCAATATTCATTCATTATTAACACTAATAGCACAGTTTACAGCTCAAGGAAAGATTTCACAACATTTGGGGGCTTATCTACGCATAATCATGGAAAAAGTAAGAAAACAACAAGAAGAAATACAATGCAAATAGACGCAAGGGTGAAGAGAATGAGCTGAAGTTTTCATCTCCAAGTGGTTTGCCCTGTCTCTTTGTCTCAACAACGGTTTCGGGTCTTCTTCTCTTCCTCTTGACTTCTTTGAACTGTCTTTTGGGAGGATAACTTGAAGCAAGGGGAGGTTGATGTGAAAAATTTGTGTGGAGACTTCCTTTAATGTTGACTTTTATACCCATTCTGTTTTTAGGGCAACAAAAAACTTCCGTGGACCTCAATTCTCACTTCCAGGTGATTACTTCATTTACTGTAGTAACTCCCAGATTAAAGTTCTGTCACTGTCAGCTTGTCGTTTTATGCTCATTTCCGATTCCATAGCATAGTTGATGCTGCATGGAGAAAACATTATAGCATTTCAGGCACAAACTTAGTATAGAATGGGTGCAATTGAGACTATCCTTAGCTAATCTATGTGAACTTCTCACCCAAATAACTCTCTTTTTGGAGAGTTATCACCCCCACTTTATTATTAGAATCAAATATTCTTAAAAAAAACATTAAATATTATTATTATTATTTTTAATTATGGTCACTATGATCCAAAATGTTAGGTCATAGTTCACTAACCAAAGTTGTAGGCTTTGCCTATGTTATTTCACTCTCTCTCTCTTTAGTATATATTGCATAAGCACAAGTTGATACATTGGGTAAAAGGGAATATCTACTTTTGCAAATTAAACCAAGATTGCTTTTTATTTATTTATTTTCTTTTTTCCCTTCTTTTGGTCCCCATCACATATATTCTAGAATCTTGGTACAATTTGAAGGGACCCAAAACGAAATTTAAATGGAAAATGAAGCTCATGTCACCCAAACCCTAAAGAAAAATAATGTAAAAGGCTGATATTTTGAAAGTATGTCAATTTTTTATTCCTTATGTTTAATTTTGAAAAAAAATTCCTACTTGATAACACTCCTGAAATTAAATAATAGAATAGAGGTATAGTGCTTTAAAAATAGTCTTAACTGCCCCTAATTAGTAGAGTGAATTTTACTTCGTAAACTAACAGGACACGAAGGATCGAACTTCCTTACGTTTGTAGTTACTTAGCAACTCATATAGTAGAGTGGTTAATTGCTAACTGTCAAATTGTAGGTTCATATCCTACTTTTTCAATATCGACTTGAATTCCACTTTGTCGAGAAGAGGGTGATACGTACATCAAATTAGGAGCCTCCTAAAGCCATAGAATAGCAAACTGCTATCTCGTTACTTATGCAAGAATAAAAGAGATCCTAATAGAACAAATACTTTAGAAAAAGAGCTCATACCTTGTTACTGGAAATAGAAAGTACTCGATCGAAGTTCAATAAGGTTGAAAGTTGGACAATTTCCTCGTATAAAGACAAGCAAGGATGGAGAGAAAGAGAAAAAATCCTACCTCGATCTCCAACGTCATTCATGGTTCACAGAAAGACTGGACTAAAGTACTACGCTCCTAAAGCTATAGATAGACAATATAAACTTATCAATATCTTGGTATATATCACCAAGCCACAATARTTTACTGTCTAGATATGACTACTAATTAAGCTTGTCATCTTCTGAATGCTAAATATCTTCTATTAACTCACCCGAATTTAAAACACAGCCAAACCAAATTATTATAAGAGAAGAAGGTTTGTAATTTTGATAAGATTATTGAGAGATCAAGTAGTTTGTAGAATATCATAGACATGGAAACAGGAAGGTTTGGTTGATTTTTTTTTTTTAATCTCATGTCACTAATTCGTTACTCAACTTTAATGACAATGTTAAATAGGAATTTAATTATTATTATTCTTTTGAAATATTAAAAATAAAATTAAAAGTTTGAAATTAAATTTCCAAGTGCATTATATGTGGGGCCAAAATTATGTAACAATTATTGAGGATAAGTATCCCACTTTGAGAGAATTCATGGAATTCCATTTCAGAGTGCAAGATTCCACTTTACTTTGCTGCCCTTTTACTTGATTAAATAAATTGCTTTGNAATTAATTAGTACCTCTCCCTTTTAAAAAATAATCAAAAATTTATTAATTAATGGCACTAACTTTTTAGCCCCTTTATTTGGACAAGCCTTTATGGGATGTTAGCTAGGTTAAAGTGGGCCATTTGGTAGTGTATTTGTTTATAAAGATAATTAAGTATATTTTAAGGTATAAAAATTTTAAATTTTAGTTCCCTCAATTTTTTTTTTTAATTTAGTTTGTTTTAGATTACTTTGTGATATTATTCTATTTTAACTTTTAAACTTTTAAAAAGTAACTATTTTAGAATTTATTGTTATTTTATGATTAATTTTTTCTAACCAATATTTATTTTAGTTAACTTATAGGATGTCAATCAACGTTTCCATCAACATATTAATTTATATATTTAAAATCACATCATCGATCTATTGAGCAAGAGAGGAAGTAGAAGTACCTAACCTGTCTTTTTTTAGTTTAGTAATGGTAGAATTGAATGATCCTGATTAGGATCTGGACAATATTGTAATTGTTTCAAGAACATATAGTGTTGTCCAAGGTTTTGGATCAACAACAAGTGACAGCTTAAGAGGCGTTGCCAATAACATAACAATGACAAAAACAAAAATGGTTACTTTTTTGTTCTGTTACTAAAAATAGACATTTTTAAAAATTCAAAAATAAAAACTAAATTAAACTTGAAAGTGTAAAGAAGGTATGAATATCGACAAAAAGCTCCATAAACCATATCAAATCTAAACTAAAATCCCCTTTCCCTTCCTAATGAAATGAGTTTTTAAGAGTCAATAACAAGTTTGTAACATCTTCCATGATCACAAAAGTAAAAAAAGGAGAAAAAAAATACTACAAAACTAAATGTCTTAAATTTTAATTCAAAGAATAAGATTTCGTTGGATAATAATTTTAATTTTAATTTTTTTTTTGTTTAAAATTAAACTTTATCTCCTTTTGTTTTGTTACATAGTTTTTAAAACATTTTCGGATTTAATTTGTTAAAAAAAATTCACAAAAAGGTTTTTGTTTTTTAAATTTGGTTAAAAATTCAACTATATTGTAAAGAAAGGCGAAAAAAGTTTTCAAAAAATAGTTTTTATTTTTTAAATTTGGTTAAAATTTCAAATATATTTGTAAAAGAGATGAAAAACTTACTAATGAAATTGTAGGAAAACAAACATAATTTTAGAAAACACAAAATTAAAAACAAAATGATTATCAAACAACACATAAATTAATATTTTTCAAAAATTACCAATTTCAAATATAAAATCAAACACAAACAATGAATAAAACTCCTATCACCTTCATTTAATGAATGATCGATCCCCTCTCATATGTTATTAAACTTATGAAACTAGATTGAACCGATTTTAACTAAAATGAGAAAAGACTTCAAATATATGCGAACCAAGGGGTATGGTTTGGTTTTAGCTCAATCAAAAAATCGAACCGAACCAAACCAAATACACCTTACATCTAGAAACAACAAACTCCACAAAATCCCCAAAAAAATTTTTTTTTAATAATAATAATAAAAACTAAAAACTAAAAACTGGTCAACCATGGCATACCAGCAAAGCCATTGGAGGGCGAAAAGTCAAGAAATTGTAATAGTCAAACAATATTCATCCCCAATTACAAAGCAACCAAATCCACGACGCGGCATTCTTCCCCCTGCGAATTTGCGATTCAATAATATATAGAACCCTAAATCGCAACTCTTCTTCCCCAAAATTTCCCCAAATTCTCCCAAAATCAAACAGCCACTCCTTCCGATTCTCCATGTGTCCTCTCCGATTCATCCTCGTGTTCCTCTCCGCAGTTCTGGCCGGATACGTCGCCTGGAGATCCGCTTCTTCTTCTTCGATTTCGTCCTCCGATGTCGCTTCGGAGAAATCGCCGCCGTCCGACGAGAAGCGAGGAGTAGGGACGACAATTCAGAATGGATTCTGGATCTTCGTGGACATGGCGAGCGGGAGATACCTGTGGAGGAATTTGAACGGATCAAATCAGGCCGCCAAGGTTGAGAGTAATTAGGAATCTTTTCTTTTCTCTGCAAATTTGATTGTGTTGCTGTTGCTCGCTGGTTCTGGCGATTGTTTCGTCAATCATTTGCTTTCTGTTCTTGGCGACGGAGATTGAAATGTCGATATTTGAATTTTAGAATCGAACACGATTGCGTTCTCGAGGTGATTGATTATTTTTTTATTTCTTTTAAGTGATTAAGTTAAAAGTATTTGTCAAGATTATGAACAAAGCATTGATTTTGATTATTTGGTAAAATTAATACTGCTATCATAACCTAAACATAGCTCAATTAAAGATATGGTTTCTTTCGCCACATGACTACGTTAATTTGTATTAGTATTAGAACGAAGTTCTAAACAAAAAATTTTTAGCCGATTTAAAGTTATTGTCAAGGAAAAATCAAGTGAGTATTATGATTGTTTGAAGAGGATTAAGTTGTGAGCTAAAAGAAACTTGAATTACATCTGATCAAATATCGAGTCAATGAGGAAGTGTTTGTTCTTTAATTTAATTCCCGCTCAATATAAGACAAGGCTATTTTCAAATTAAACGGCCTCTTTATTCACCGAATCGAAAGAAGACTTTAGTACAACATGTTGTAGTTAACGTGTAGAACCCTTCCAATTATAATAAAGAATCATTTGTTTGTTGCAGAAAAATAATTTGCCTCTCTTTTGAATCAAAGTAGGGTGGGGGGGAAGCTAGACACTTCCTCATCTTGCTTATGAAGTTTTGACTTTGCTTGATTGTGAAAAGGTTGGAAATCTTTTTCTTCGGGTTAGATTATGGACCAATTAAAAAATGATTTTTATATTCGAAATCCATTAGAACGAAAATGTTATATATAAATGATAAACTCAAAAACCTTGAAAATACTATGAAATATTCGAAATGGTTGGAGTTATAGAAAGATGCCTGTACATTCTTATGTAACCTTTAAATACAAAACGACAACCTTTAAATATAAATGTAAGGTTAAACGAGATATAAAATCAAATCAGTTAGAGAAATTCCGATCGATCAATACTAAGGTATAAAATGATAATTAACTCTTAAATTTAGCCAAAAAGAAAGAGTTTTCCTTTGAATTATGATGTATTCAAAGAACATATATCAATTATTGACCGTAATTATTTCTAATGAATTGTTGAATTTTTATTTTAAAAATGTTAACAAAAAAAATATTTTTTTAATCATTAATATTGTTAAAGATACCATTAGACTTATCATAATTCATCAAACTACTAACAATATTAAATTTATCTTAATTCATCAAACTTTTGAATTCATCGGTAATTTAATCATATTTATGAATTATGATATGATATTATAGTCTAACGAGTTCATCAATTTAAGATATCACTCTATTAACACTAAAATATTGTAGGAAAATGGTTGCCTTGGGATAAATCAAAGTGCAAATAAATCGAAATAGACAATCCTATTATAAATTTTTTTTAAAAAAAGTAGTACAACATGTGGGTGGAGATCCAAACTCACGACTTTATGATCAGAAAGAGGTATCGTAATCAGTTGAGCTATGTCCACATGGTCACTAAATTAAAGTTATTATTTTTTTTAGTACAACGTGTGAGGTTGTGGATCGAATTCACAACTTCTTGATTGKAGATATATGCAAATTACCACTAAATTAAAGTTATTGTTGACTATAGAATTCTTTATTTTAGTACACTAGGGTGGGGAATTCAAACTGGACATATGTGACTTAACCTGTCGAACTATGTTCAGGTATTTAACTATAATATTCCAAAATTAATAAATAAATAAAACTAAATACGGTAGACATTGATACATTAATTTAAAACTTTTAATTTCGGTATTTAAATAATCAAAGTCACACGTTAATTCATTATTATTTTTCTTAAAAAAAGAAAAATTAAAATTATTAAGGTAGATTTTGAACAGATGGGCATTCTTGAGGTCGGATAATGAGTTAAGGTGGAGTGCCAGCAAAGAAACTTTGTGGTGTTGTACCTTACACGTTTGGATGCGTAAATGGGATCAAATTGTCTCGAAGGTAATGTAACATATTTAGGTATTATGTGAGCTCCCTCTATTTATATAGAACTATAGGATGTGATTCCGTTCTTGATTAGTACCTCCATCTTTAGTGCCTATTGTGTTGGTGACTATAACCTTGTAGTGTTAAGTGGTACGTTCGTCGGGTTGTCGCACAGATCTACACGTTATCGAGTTATCTTTATTCATGAAGCAGCACTGTCCAGATGTGGGATATGTGAAGATTCAATTGACTTTGGATGTTCCACTCCTAACACCCTTCATAGATTAGCGCGATAAGTTTGATTGGCCTACTCACTCAAAATATTGGTTTGGTCTAACTCAGCGTTACGTGGGCATTAGTACTCCTCATCTACGTGGACATGTAATAATTGTATATTTCTACCCATAACAAAAAATATTTCTAAAATGTCTAAAAAATGTGCACTAACCTTCTCAAGAGTAAGTATTGCATAATTATAGGTTATTTGGAAAACAGTTTTGAAAATAAATCACTGCTTTTGTCTTTAAGAATTAAGAATTAGAAGATAATAAAAAAGTACAAGAGAGAGTGAAAAGTAAATAATAAATATGATATTTCTCTATTCAAGTTTTTACCAAATGTGTTTTCACATCCTAACTTATGTTATTGCATATTTTAAAGACTCATGCAATCACAATTTGTAGAATTACAAAAATATATATCACAAAAATCAATTAAAAAAGGGGACGCTGAATTTATAGATGTTAAATGAGATAATTTTTTTTTTCTTTGAGTACAACATGTAAAGTGAGAATATTTTTTATCAGAGACGAGACTTAAATTAGTTGAACTACGTTTAAGTTGACTAAAAAAACCAACTTAATGAAAATGATTAAGATTATGGATTTACTTAATGTATAATTAGAATATTCATTACATACGTATATATTTTTTAAGAATGGAGAAAATAATAATAATAATAATAATAATAATAAATCAACCAGACAATATTCTGGAAAATCAATAAATATTTGTGTCTTAATTTGGTAAGAAAGGAGGAGAAAAATCAGGAGCGGCGTGGAGTTGCTAGGACCGGCCGGCGAGGGAGTTTGGTGAACAATGGCGACTGTGGCGCCGCCTTCTTTAATCTTCAAATTTCGTTCTCCCACTGCCTTTAATGGCCGAACCGCCGTTCATTTTCCCCGTTCTTCCACCGCTTTCTTCAATCCTCGTACTCCATTTTCCATGGCCGCGTCAACCGAGTCCACGTCTCAGGTACCTCCTCTTTTCTCCCCTTTCCAGCCATCAATTCGTTGCTTCATTTCTTGTTTTTTGTTAATTTCATTCGTTTTTCTGATCAGACTGTAGCGTCCGGCGATGCTAACAGCAATGAAATTGATATCTCGAAGTTGATTCAAGCTCACCAGGTATTTGTTTGAAAATTTTGTTATTGTCTTTTGTTTGAGATTCGTTGCTGATGAGAGTAGCAATACGTGCCTGTTTCGTTGGTGAAAAGATTGTCGCTCTGGTAGTTTGGTGATGATGGTTTTCAATTTCAAGCTTTGGTTGCTTGTGCAGAATTGCTCGTTGTGTTCTGTCTATTTATCATGTTCTTGCTGAATGATGATGTTTCAGGAGAATGCGGCTCGGCTTTCGCCAGCTGAAGAGATTCGAACTTTGTTGGATCAGAGCGTGCGCGGCATGCTCTCCACCTTTTCCCGGGTTTTGACTCTCTTTTGATCTTTAGTCCTCTTATCTCTATCGCCTTTTGGAATTTGCTACATAGCTATAAACTTGTGACGGACACTCCTAGCGCATTTAGATCTGTTTTTTTTTATCAGTCATTTGCACTTGGTTGATTTCTTAGTCTTTGTTAATAAGGTCTACTCCTGTGCAGAGCTTTGAAGGTTATCCATCTGGGTCTCTTGTTGACTTTGCATGTGATGCTGATGGAACTCCAGTACTTGCTGTAAGCAGCCTAGCAGAGCACGCTAAGGTATCATTCATCCTTATGCATCCAATTGAGAATTTTGGTTTTGGTAGCAATTCTTGTACATTATTGGATTTTATGTGCGAAGTAATCATCAATCTTTTGAAAGTTTGGTCTTTCTTTCCTTTGCAGAATTTGGCAACTAATCCAAAATGCTCGTTGCTTGTGGCAAAACAACCTGAAGATAGGGGAACTTTAGTGGTCACTCTTCATGGTGATGTGGTGTCTGTAAGATATATCGCCTATGTTCACTTTTTCTTTCTTCTTTCCATGTGTTATTCTGTCTCATTGCTTGTGTGCATTCATTAGAATGCATAGATATGTGTCCGTTCGTGCGTGTTTTAAAGGAAAAATGTTGTTCTTGGTTAATGCTACAGCATGATAATCGGAAATTTATGGAATTGTTTGTAATTTAGGTTTCTGAAGAAGATAGACCTGCTGTTCGTGCTGCATATTTGTCCAAGCATCCAAATGCATTTTGGGTAGCTAACCCCTCCAGTATACTTATATTTTGCATCAGATGTTTCTTCTAGTTTATATGTAAAAGATGAATGAACACTTCCTATTTGAAGGTTGACTTTGGTGACTTCCAATTTGTGTACATCAAACCAAAAGTGATACGATACGTGTCTGGGGTTGCAACAGCTTCTTTAGGTTCAGGAGGTTTGTGTACCTAGACTGCATTTTCTCATCTTCTTCCTCTCCTCTGCTTTTGCATATAAAACTTGATCTTAATTTTCATCAAAAACAAAGAAAGAAAGGGTTTTATTTAACTGGATTTCTTGAAGCAGGTCTTTCAAAGTCTGCTTAACTTAAATGTCTCATAACTTATTGCCTGCATATCAGGCCTCTTCTTGCTCACGCATATCTAACTCTTTTTACCTTTTTAATCCAAGAACTAAGTGGTGAAGAGTACAAGGCAGCAAAAGTTGATCCAATAGCTCAATTTTCAAAGCCTGTCACGGTGATGACATCATCTTAAGATCTTGCCTGTTATCTCAATTTTAACTGCAAATCACGTATTTTCTGATTCAGATTCTCCTTTTCTATAGTCTCACATGAATAGAGATCATACTGAAGATACAAAGATCATTGTGAGACACTGGACATCCATTCCGGTAAAACTAATATAATCTAGGCATTTGTTTTGTTCAATTAAAGTTCACTTAGGATGATTAAATATTTGTTAGTTTTCAATTTCAATTACATTTTGGATCGTGTAATCTGTAATGAGCGACTACGTCAAAATTGGATGGAGTAATCTAGGGTGGCTTTTGAGAATAATTTATATGCAAATATACTTTATCAGTTTTAAGTTTTTAATCATTTCAATTTTAGTAACTGAAACTTCTAGCTATGAAATTGCATTTACTTTGTTTTTTTGGAATGCATAGGAGGGACAACACTAGTTTTCTCAGGCACAGAGAGAGAGAGTGAGAGAGAGAGAGAGTGAGAGGGACAACGGCCCACCTTGTTCTTACACTGATGTGTTAGCAGTATGTATAATTAATTTATGGATACTTTGTTGAAGTGTCCATGTGAGACTACTACTTCTTTATCTGCAGGTTGATTCGGCCATCATGCTGGATTTGGATAGCCTTGGTATTAATGTCAAGGTATTGGTGCTATTTAATAAATTATTTGTTAAACCTTTTTTGGCTAGTATTATTTCACAAGAAATAATCGTTAAAGTTTTCTGTTCCTTGCTAAAATATTAGATCATGTTAGGGTAGTATTACATTAAAAGTTTACATGTTAGGTTAGTTGTAGTTTATGGACTCATACCTGATCATGGGTTAGATTTCTTGTAGTTCCATTATACTTACCCCTGCATTCATACTATGAATTTTTCCACATCATTTCTAAATAAATAAGGATGATGTGACTAGTAATAAATGAGAGTAGTGCCCATACTACTATAGTGCTGAAAATTTTCCCCCTAATTATGATGTTGTGGACTATTAATCTTGACGGGAAGTGGGTAATTGTTCGCAGGAATTCTGGCCTTGATGCCATGTTATATCGAATTGCTATTAATCTTTAAAGATCAAGCTATTAAATTAATATTTTATGATTAATATATATTTGTTCTTAATAAATGGTGTCCTGACTTCAGTTCTACTTTCTAAAAGGCATATTTTTTCCCTTGTATGATTTCCTTTCTTCTTTTGTTAATTTAGGCCAGTTATCAGGGGGATTCATTTAAGCTCCGTGTACCTTTTCCGAGACGAGCAGAGAACAGAAAGTGAGAATTCTTATCCTCGAATTGTGAATGCTGAGGCAAAAATTGTCTATTGCATGATTTTGTCATTGTGCACTTATATGTTTCTGGTATACGTATATCGCATCCTTGAGTTTACCATTTTGTTGATCAGTTCTTCTATAGAAATAACTGCGTTACTTAAATCATAGGGAAAATTAAATTTTCACTTCAATTTTAGTAGGTCTCTAAATTTTTTTTCTAACTATCAGTCAGGTGTTATCTTGCTTGCTGGCTTAGAGCTCCTTTCTTTAGTTGGGCTTCCTTTCTCTGAACTGGTTTTTTTGTATGCCCTTGGGCCTCGTGTGTTACGTCTTTTTTCATTTTTCTCATAAAAAGGGTTTTTATTGAAAGAAAAAAGAATTGTTATTTGAAAAGCTTGCACCTCTCGTACCCTTGGATATTTAGGCCATTTTCTTTGCATTTCTGCTCACCTTTTCAATTCCACCTTCCAGGGACGTCAAGACTCTTGTGGTCGAAATGCTAGAAGCTGCTAAGCCTCATGTTTAACCGTCTCCACAGGAAGATGTTCAAGATATTCTCTGTCCAATGCTTAAATAAAACTTGTCATAACTTCTCTGACTTAATCTTGGCAATTGGCATCTTAAAGTATTAACATTGCCTCTCATAAAGTAGTTTTAAAGTTATACATGGTATCTGAGAATCTGTAGAATCTGATTAAAAATTGAAATGTTTACTTGTAAATTCATTTTATTTTATATTTTGTGAATTAAATGGCAGGGTGGATTTTAGGTCAAAAGAGAGGCGGCATGAAGGTATTTATTATACGGCTCTCTACTTACTCCCTATAGTTTCCAGTATTATCAAGTCCATTTTAATTCCTCCATAGCAGACTATTGTGTTCTCTGTAGTTGTAAGGATAGGATAATAATTCAGATTTTTTTTCTTTTGAAATCTGTGAGGATTCGAACCAACTTGTGTGCACCTTGACCAATCTTAAAGTATAACCGCTTGACCTTACTATATTTAATTGCTAAGAAAACATGTATAGTATTAAATCTTAGGTAGATAACCACCATAGTTTTAACTCATTCTCTCTAGCCCTTTATTTGACCCAAATGACTACTTGACCAAAAGACCCAAATGGCCACTTGACCAACCGATGGTTAATAATAGTTCATGTTGAGAGCTAAAACTGTTGATTAGTAGATTTCAGTTCAAAGCGTCACTCTCATAGATCAAGAGCTTATTCTTTTGGTTATCATAATCCTTAATTTTGCTTACATCACTCAGCTTCAAGACTGTTTCCTTCTCTTCTCCCTTGGTCTCTGTTCAACTCCTATCTTAGCTACTATTATTGTGTCCTTGTGTTGCTCCTCCTCTTGTTATTGTTGCTGATTCTGCTGCTTCCATAACATCCTTGCCTTCTCCTAACCCACTAAATTCTTGAAATGAATCGGTTTCATTGCTTGAAGAGTTCTTTACTTGTGATTTTCTTCATTCATTATGAGACACCTAATTTTGCATATTTTTACTCCTATAAATGGAGTATTTTATTCCAAGTAGTAGAATTCTAATTCAGTGAACCCTTTTTTTTTTTTTTTAACTTTTTGGGATTTTAATACCTCCCCCTCAAGGGCTAGGTTAGTCAGCAGGAGCTTCGGGTCTCTTGGTCATACTGGTTTAGAGCTTCGAATCTTCTGCTAAGCTCAATACCAAAAATCCTTGGGTCTGGGCCCTGCGGCTTGTACCGATGCCCCTGGATATAGGGGAGCAACGCTCCGACTCCTGGTTATCGAAAAAGGAGACTACTCGTGCCTTCTTTAGATGCAACTTTGAAGAGTGTCACATTTATGGAGAACTATAACTTGAACAAGTAGTTGGGATTTGAACCTATGGCTTTTAGAAGTATAAATATAGTTCAAACTCTCGAACAAGATGGTTGTGTAGAAATTTGAATCGAAGTTTATATTTAATCAATTAAATCATGTTCATGTTAGCAGGAAGATAAATCGTCATTGAAGATTAATCTAGTTCTCTTATCGTTTCACCACCTAGTACCTAGGAATAATGTAAAAGTAGTTTGTTGACCATTTGATTCTTCTTCCTCAACGATACACGACAACTCAATGATACGTGGAGATAAGCAATTGAGTGGAGACGTGCACGCGGAGGGCAAGCTCTTGTGATGTTAGCGCGGTGGTGATGGCATTTGCGTGTGCGCTACGGTCGTTGAACGTGTAATGATGCTCCCATCTCAACTTGATTATGTTGTAAGGACTTGAGGTCAAATATGATCGTATCACTCCATTAGTTGGATGAGAACGAGAGTAGACATCTTAAATAGTTTTATATCTATTTTGAAATTATGGTGGTTTCAAGAATTTTAATACTTTTCCTTCGGCCTATGAATCAATCAAAACTTTTTCCTTTTAAAATTTTGAAGGAACAACTCTCCCTCTCCCTGTCCTACCGTCCAAAGCATGCCGGTTGTTTGGAGGTAGAATTAATTTTTAGAGTAAAAATAGAAAACTCATGGGAAGGGAAGAAAAGAGAGATCTTATGAGCAAGAACATCAATAAAGGGTGATAATTATTATAGTCAATCAATATTTATATTAATCCATAATTCAATACGTGGGATTGAGAATTCGAACCCACGATCTTGTGGTCGGGTCGGAGATAAATTTCTTAACCAATTTAGCTAAGTTCAATTTGGATTCTTACAAAGGATGTCGTCTAAAACTAAAATATACTATGAGTAATAAAATCTTTATAATTTTGTTATAGTTTCAATTACTTTTCATAAAAAATGTATGCTAAAATTTTTATGAAAGTAAACACTTTCATAAGTAAAGTTGCCCATTCAAGTAACTTTTAGCAAGTATTAAATTTCTATCCACATTTTCATATGTTGAAGGGTTTGATATTGATATGAGGCGTATCGACATTTTCTATTAATTATCACTAAAATGAACATATTATTAATACTAGTAATTTTTTACTTATTTGAAATGAGAAAATAGTTTTTAATTTATTTATTTTTTTAAGTGGAGTAGGATCAGTATCCTTCTAAGTTCTATGCCTAGCTAGACTTGGGAAGTCAACTTGATTGGCGATGTGACTATGACTTTCTTCTTAAAAAAAATTGTTTTCCTTTTGAGCCAGATCGGTAAGAATGCCAGAAGACTGAATCGAAAAACTCAGCTTTACAAAATGGACCAATCGAGCAAATGCTCGAGTTTAAGTGGGAGCGGCTGGAACTCAAGCTAACCTTATTCAATAAGCTATGGAAGTTCCTTTATTTACAGTATTTGGATAAAGGCAAGTTTGACGTTCATTCCTTTTTCTCTTCTTTGGTGAGAAGTTTTCACTCAAGGGCAATACAGTAATTTCACATGTATGACAACAAAGGCCCAGCCCATTTACGACTCGGACCCGGTTCGAAAAGCCCAAAACAGGACCCTACTTAGAACCCTAGCCAAATGTCGCTAATAAATCCTTCCCGCCCGCCCCCTTCTTTGATTCATTCTTCCGCGTCAATTTTCTCTGTTTTCTCTCAGATTTTCGAATGTCATCATCCTTTTTAGCAAGATTTTTTCATTGATCGTTTGCCAATGGCTTTCGTTTGTTAAGATTGGGGGGAGAAGTTTTGGAACTGGAAATGGTTTTGATTTCCGCCAGCCTTCGAATAACCAGTAGGTTCGAATTATTCACCCACACCGTCTGGTTCAGACAAAGGCTCACACCAATCTATCGGATATAATTTTCCGTCGCCGAATCCGTTTGAGGGAGACGAACGCTTTTCTTCCGTTCCTCTCCTAGATTGCTTCGGACATTTCTTCTCCCCACAGATTTTACTTGTTTTGTGTTTTTAGCTCTTTTTGTAAGGAATTCGATCCGGCTTCGCATTGCTTATCGCGAATCTGAATTGGATTGGATGTTCTTTCTTCAACTGAATCTGGGAGGGTTGGATTGGGTGTAGATTAGATGCTGCGGCCGATTTTGAAAGTTATAACCTATTAATGATTCAAAGAAGCTTCGTGAATTAGTAGAAATTGTGATGTACTGTTTGTTTTGAGTTGGGAATTTGATTTTCTTGCAATCTGATTGTGAAACGTGGAACGCCATATTGTCGAGTTGTCAAGCCATGGTTTGTTGATATTTTTGTGACTGTAAACTCTCCACAATGGGAATTTTCTCTTTCTGAAGTGGGTCATGAGTCGTGAGTCATGAATCTCTTTCTTTTTCGCTGGTCTCTAGATTTTCCACCCTACTTGAGTTTTTCTCGGAAAATTTTTAATAGGAGGAAATTGATTTGACCTGATCAATTTGGAATCATTGTATACTGTTCAAATCTAGAAAAAAAATGGGGCATTCTCTGCCTTGCAGCTCCATTATTGAATCGGTCACTCTCTTTCACTTTCACTTTTATTTCAATTCAATCCCATCTTTTTGCTCTGTACATTGCTTCATTTATCGTTTGCTTGTATGTAGGCAGTTCCAATAAGTGGAAAGATAAGAGTAAGAAGAAAGTCGGAATCAACCATTGACATTTCACAACCAAGATGGGCAAAGGGATGAACAAATCAACATCTTTCTTGTCTGGGTAACTAAATTCAACAAGATAATAATTCATTTCATCCCATCTCCAATGGGCGAGTTTACTTGTGTAAAAATCAAAATGTTTTTTGGTTCCTATATTTTGGAGCTCATGTTGCGACTAAAAGTTTGAACTTGTTCTTTCGGTTGAGATCACCAGTAAAAAAAATGTTATATGAGGGTTTTGATTGTGAATTGAGGTTCAGGGCATTCTTCAATGGGGTAAAGGCATATGGTTGGATGTATTTATTAAGGTAGAAGGACAAAAGTTCCAAAAATAGCAAAACATAAGGACCAGATGTAAATAATGATCTATGGAGGCCAAACATAAGGACAATTAAAGATTGAAATTTTAAGCTTGGTTCATGATTTCTATTCTTGTATAAATATTGTACCAATTCAGTTTCATTTCCACTGTTTGATGTGTGTAAAGATTGTACCAATTCTCCAGAGTATAGAGTAGACACATGACAAAACCATATAGCCTATAATCAATAGTTGAACAACACTCGGTATTGGCAGAGACTCATGGAATTCTACCCACATAATCCAAGCAGGACTCCTGAACCTATTTTGTACTCAAAACTATAATCCTTTGTACAGACATTGAAACTTCGGGTAAAGTGATAGAATTTTGCCTTGGCAAATCCACCTCAATTCATCCTCCCTTAGAGTCTTTCTTCAAGGCAGAGCCAATTCCTAGCTTTCTCACAGCCCATCATAGTGCCCACCACAGGTTATGTGAGCCCTTGTCAGTGGCGCTCCTCTTGCTGCCGAGATTGCTTCGTTTAATCTAGTAGCTTGCTGAACCACTTGCTTTAATTTCTGCAACCAAGTGCCGTGAAATGAGTTTGCCTACAGTTTATTTGTCACGTGAAAGATAAACTTTTTCATTGATTCCCTAACTTCACCATGATATTTTGAGATAATTTGCTTATTCATTAATCATTATGCTCTTAGGTAATATTTTATGAAGTTTTGGATTTGCTGACCTTGTCACCGGTGTAGATCTGGATTCTCAGCTTTTGATGTGATTTGTTACCTTGGTGTTGGCCTCCATAAAACAGAATACAAATAGTGGCAGCTGCAACCCCGAAGGAGCAAATGGCACCAATCCCATTTAAACTCCACTTCAATATGTTCAGCCCACCATTGAATCCATCCCAATTCATCTCGTCTTTGGCACCATTCTCCGTGCTGCTTTTCTGGCTCTTCAAATTCACACTCGGGGAGTTTGTAACGTTCTCTTTTTTTTCCTCACCCCCATCATCAAACTGATAATGCCCCACATCAATTTGAGCCTTTGTTCCCTTGTTGCTGGACCTCGGTGAGTCTATTTTCATGTCGACGAATTCGTTTTCCTTCATTTTCTTGAAGAAAACTTGAGTAACAGTGTCTTGATCTGCCTCCACAGCTCCTCTATGATGATCCACATCCTTCTCACTCATGGCCGATGGCACAACACTGATCACCATGGGCACCTTGTTTTTTTCTTTCAGTGGCAGTGCCTCTTCTGGGACTTGGAGAATTGGTGAGTCCAACTGAAGAGGAACAGGGATCGGCTGCTTAGGCAACCTTGAAGAAGAATTCCTTGTCGGTTGGGTGAGGTTCATGGAATCCATTGATGGGCACAAGAAGTAGTTCATGTCGAACACAATCTTGGCATCAGAACCCGATCTTCTCTTCCTCGAGACGATCTTCTTCTCATCATCTTTGTAATCTTCAAGCAACCCATCATCACAGAGGATTTCCCACTCATGGAGGTCCATTTTTCTCTCTGGAACAACCTGGAAATATGGAGGATGAGAGGAGAACTTTATATGGGTAGAAGAATCAAAGTAGCAGCAGGCTATGAATCTGCATAATCAGATCAAAAGGGTAATTTTCAAACTTGTGATTGATTTTTGAGGAGCAGCCCCAGTTCCCTGGCCTGCTCTCTGGTGTCTTCTTTCTTTTGGACAGGGGACTGCCAAAAGCAAACAAGGATTTGACGTTGTATTGAGTGCTTATCCTTCCTAATTTCCCCATACAGTGACAAAAAGTTGAATGGGTCAGTAGGGACCCACCAAGAACTTCAATTGATAAAACCCCACTTGGATTGTAGCTTCTTTTCTTCATTTGGGGAATATTTTTTTCCATTCATTTGAGGGACGAAAGGTGAGAGGAGAAAATTCTATCTGAAGATACTAGTTTGAGAAAAAATCTAGAGAGAGTGTTATGATTATAGTTTATTATGGCAGGTGAATTTAATAGGGTGATTCTTACACGTCACAACCTCACAGGAATTGGCTCAAAAAGATTAAAAAAGGGTGTTTGGTTGCTTGCTGGGGCTGTCTAGAATCCTTAAAGAAAGGATAAGTTTAGTTCTTTATTCCTCTCTCTCTCTCTCTTTAATTTTGTTTGTTTTCTATTTATTTATAAATGAGGGAAGAGGAGGAAGGTTAAAAGTTATATTCAATGCAGCTGTCCTTAGCCTAGAATCTTCTCATTCACATTACCTAGATGGGGTGGCAATTAATAGCCTATTTTGGGAAATTCAGCTGTATCAATTTTTATGATGATTTTTTTTAATTTTATCGAATTGTATTTTAAATTTAGATAAGTGTTGCAATTTTCTGTTGGCAAGTTAATGATTCATGAAACTTATATTTGATATAAATTGATAGGATTTGCATGAAAACAAACCATAGAAGTGATCTTTTAGTTCAAACTTTATGCGTAGTTTGATTTTTGTTACATTGAATATAGTAAAATTGCACTGCTTAATTAAGTTTAGCTTGCAAAGGATGAGGAAATTGGTTTTTTTTTTTTCCCTACAGAATTTGAAATAAAATTTTGATGACATTTTTCTCAATTATATACAGATTTTGAAGGGGAAAAAATCCCCTTTTTGCTAGTTTTTCTTGATATGGTATTTAATAAAATTTCTATTTGACTATTGTTCTCGAGTTTTTTTTAGTACAACTAGTGGGATAGGGAGATTCGAATTCATAACCTCTTAATTAGAAGTGTGTCAATTATTGTTGCTGTACGTATATAATTTTTATTTCTTATATGTTCATTTTTGTTCTTCATTTTAAAGTAAATTAGAGAAAATAAAAAACGTGGGTAAATATCATGTCTTTTCTTCTAGAATTACACGAAAAAATGATAAACAAGAATACAAAATAGAAATATTACCGAACGAAGTATCGTAATAGTCACGGATGGAGAAGAAAAAGAAGTCAGGTCCAAACTCTCAGACTTGAAAGCAATAATAATTCCAAACATTTATTTGAAGAAGCAAACTTCCCAACTCTATGGCCATTTTGGCTTCTTATACACTAAATATCCTCAATCACATTCAGTCATAAAACCCCTTTTTTTCTTCTCTCTCACAAGCAATCTTTGAAAATGGATTCAAGTTGGGCCCTAAATATGGCCCACATGTGCCAGCTCTTATCCTCTTCTCTTAATTAATTTTCTCCCAACTTCACCCCAAAAATAGATTATAAATTATGAAATCCAAACAGAGCAACATGTCTATGGGAAGAATTACCCTTTTGAAGTATTGCTGGTTAAATTATAAAAATACCCTCCAACTCTTTATTTCTAAAATACCTTTTATCCTTTCAAAAGTTTCAAATGAATCCTCACATAAACGTTTTCAAAATAAATAACGTTTATTTATTGGAACCACATTTTAACCACCTTATGTTCATGTTGACATTTTCATTCAAAATACTTTTGACAAAGTTCTCAGATATTTTTTATAATTTAGCGAGTATAGTATAAACTCGAGAACCACCTACTGGTTTCGATGACGACATCATTAGAACCCAACAACAAACTGACCAGTAATTGAAGAAACAAAACAGAGGTTGGATTTATACATGCTTCTGATTGTGTGTAATGGGGTATATAATGTACAATATAAGAGAAGCAATTTGTGAAATTTACATGCCTTCCCACTACCCTCTACTACTACCTCCCTCTAGTACAAGAAAAACAACTTAGGGTTTCACCAGGAAAGTAAAATGTCATTTTACAAGAGTTAGGTGAACCTAAGCCGATCTCGAGGATGAAGATTCACCCAACGAGACAGATGCAAGAGACGATGCCCAAACACGAGCGTTCCTTGCTCCCTTGTGGAAGTTCTTTGTCTTGCATAGCCTCAGCTTGGCCCACACCCTTCTTATATCGACCATGTGAAGAATGCACCCCATAAGTTGTCGTGTTTCGCCAAATATTTCCAAATTTAGGTGGGGTTTGTAGGATCTCCAGAGGTTGCTTAGGTGACATAGAACATGTGGTAATTTGGAAATTGCTAGACGAAGACAGATGAATACAATGGAGAATGTCAACAACGGTTCGCCCTTCAAAATGTTGTTTGGTGACGAAGTAGTCTTCGGCAGTTGGATTATCGGCTTTCCAAAACTCTCGATTGCAACTAACTCGTGATCATTATAATATGGAACAGGTTTTAATCCTGACATAATGAAAGAATGATTAAGATATACGGTACACTCACCTAACACAACTTGTTTTGATCCACACACACCACTCTATGAGAACACAAAGAGACCTCACCTGTTGCTCGTTTATAGAAATGGACAAGCGAAAGGATATCTTTCTGACCACGATATCGAACACATGAAGTCCCGTTCACTAGCAATATAGATGGGAAGCTGTGGACTCCATATCTTGAGAGTACACTAAAATACGAAAAGCCAAACATATAAGATTAGAGGTTGTTGACATGACAAGCAAGAGCAAGATTGTTCTATTCTATTCTAATTTCAGTGCCAGAAAGAGAGAATCTCATTAGCACTTAAAAAAACATGTAATTGCTCCGCCCTTTTTATAACTATTTCGTTTTTTATTTTCTATTTTTAAAAATCATACTTGGGTAGAATATAAAACAAAGAAACACAAAAGTGGAAATTGTGTTTTCATACTTAATTTTTAAAAACCGAAAACAAAAAACGAAATAGCTACAAAATGGGCCTTCAATTTCTATTTCTCATCTTATCAGATGGGGCAACTGGTTAATCAAATATAAAGAACATAGAAAGCTTCATGTTCATGCTGCACAGAAAAAACAGACCCTTCAACTTTAAGTACAGAAAGAAAATCAAATCAGGGATACTTACTTTGGTAGTGTAGAAGACTGCTCAACCAACAAGTGTTCTATTTGAGGAAACAAGAAACTGAGAGATTCAAACGTGTGGCGCAAATGGAGAGAAAACGGGCACCACGAAGCATAAAAGAGCACGGATGTGTACCCGATCCTCTTGTCAGAACTCAAAGTCCTATCAAGGTCACTGTCAGCCACCTATAAATCAGAAGAGGGAAAAATAAAGTCAACATGAGAAGAAGAAAAACCAATATTTTTAAGGTTGAAGGAGGTTTCTGTAATGGGTTACTTGATAAATAGCTAGGCCACACAAATTTTCATAACAATCAGATGAACAGACCATCAGAGAAAGCTTAAAACAAAGCTAATACTATAATCTCTGGCCAAACTAAATTTTATCTTTCTGCATCCAAACAAATGTGATGCAGAGGGGTTCAAATTGTTTTTCTAGGATGATTACTCTCGAAAAGTTGCTCTTTGAATTCATCGAGACGGATGAGTTCATATGATTTTTTTGTGTTGCATTTCCAAAACTTTGATAAGTATAAAAACTATAAGGTGCAATGTGCAAAGAATTCAATCAATTTGATGTATCAATAACAATTTACTCCCTCTAGTTTAAAACACATTTGTCCTGAATGATTTATTGATCTATATACAGAAGAAATGCCCATTACAACTTAAACGAGAATTTTCACTATGGGGACAAAATTATTACAAATTTCAAACTATAGAGATGAAATAGTAACCTATTAAAGTTCAAGGCCTAAATCCTTGCAAATTTTAAACTACAAGACATAAATTGTTATATATTTAAATTAAGGACCTAAATTATAGAATATTAAAGTTCAACTCCAAAGACTAAATTGTTACTTCAACGAAGATGTATGTTTTAACCTATATAAAATGATGGGAGGAGAAAATTGAGTAGGTGTAAAGAATATCTGGTATCATATTCATTTGAACCAAGTATATAAGTAATGAGTTGGTATCTTGTACCAATGGAAACTGAACATCTTTAATTACCATGTTTGGTCATAAATTGCACAAAGATATTTTTGGAGTTCCAACATCTACTCCTACTCTAACTTTTAAATCTATTTTCACACGAGAGGTAAGAATCTGATAGAACCCGAAATATATTGAAAAATAAAAAGATATACGAACTACAATATAATCAAGTATTAGAGGTACTTAGGGCCCTCCCTTCTTGAGATACCACTCAAGCCTAAACCACTAAACAATTGGATACCTTCATTCCTACACCTCACTCTATTTATAACAACTCCCCCTATCAACTTCCCTATCTAATTACTAAGGTACCCTCAACACCCTAATAATATCCCTAATTACCCCTAAGGCCATTCCTATCAGAATCTTTACTCTTTCAAAAGTTTTTCAGCTCTTAAAATGGGAGAGGCTTTGATTAGTGCACATATTGAATTGGGATTCATTTGCAACCTAATCTAGTAGATCTTCATTTTCAAACTAAAGAATTGGAGACTTGTGATGAGATTGAATATTTATTTTGTTATGTTATCTATACATGCTTGTTTCTTTGGTGCTATTATGTGGGGTATTTGGATCGAGAGGAATAGTAGAATTTTTAAGGAAGTTGAGAGGCCTTGGAGGAAATTTTGAGAGCTGGTTAGATTAAATATCTAGCTCTAGGGGTTGGTTTCTAAGGCCTTTTGTAATTACCAGTTAGGTATTATTATTTTAGATTGGGGTCCATTCTTATAGGTGGACCCCCTTTTGTCAAGCTTGGTTTTTGTACATGTTCTTTAATTTCTTTCATATCCCAATGAAAGTTTGGTTTCTTATTATTCTTATAATATATATATATATACACACACAAACACATACATACATACATACATGTATAATTGTACAAATACATGCAACAAAAAAATCTTAATGATACTTGTGGGCCTTTATTTTTTCTTTCTATGATAAAAGCTGGGTTCCAAAAGGACTTCTTGCTTGGTCAAAATCTCAAAAGAAGAGCAATAATTCTTTGGGAGAAAAGTATCACTTAGGGCTTTTGTGAATGAATTATGAAAGAAAAGAAACAGTATAGTTGTCAAAGATGTCGAAACTGAACTTTTCATTAAAGTAATCTGAATTTTTCATTAAAGTGATAAAAACATTTGACTTTGGTTCGTTTTGGTCCCTAAACTTTCAAAACGTTCATTTTGGTCCATGTACTTTCAAAGCATGTCGCCGTACTTTTAAAAAGTAACCAACTTGGTATCTATTTGCAACAATGCAAATTTTATATGCAACAAAAACCCTTTAATGCAAATTTATGCTAAATCTCAAAAAAAATTTGTGCATAAAGTGCCCTGCTTGAATTATGATAGAAAAAAATGAGATAACAATGGAAATGAAAGAAACAAAATGGCCACTCTTTAAAAGTACAAGGACCCCAAAATAGATATTTCGAAAGTACATGGATTAAAGTGAACAAAAATTGAAAGCACAAGGACCAAAATGAATTAAAGTCAAAGAATAATAGGACCAAAATAGTATTTAAACCAAACCCCTAATACTAGAAATAAGCCTGAAACCCTTAAAAGTTACATCAATGAACAGTATAGGAAGGCTTCCCTTTAAAGTAAACAAAAGCCCCAAAAACCTACTTTACAGCTCAATGTTTTGAAATGGTTGTTTATAACACAAACATTCTTTTTTAATTAGTCTACTTCATAGCTTTATACACATTGGAGTACCTTTTTTTCTTTTTCTTTTTCTTTTTTTGTAATCTCAAATTTCTAAAGGAGGTGCTTTTATCCACTTTTTGGATGTAATTCTTTGATTCTACTAAATGAAATGTTTTGTTATTATTCCGAGAAGGAAAGAAAAGAAAAAACTCATGGAGCATCAAGAGATATGTTTTTATTATTGATAGAATTCAGCTTTAAACAAATTTTTGTTGGTTGCATTGTTGATGGAGCTATCAAACACTAGTTTAAGAATATTTTTTGAATTTATAAATATCAAAATGAGTCAGAACAACATTTAAAGTATTATCTCTTTAAGATTTTGTATTGTTAAAAAAAAATTTTAAAAAAAATCTAGGGGTCAACCCAACCTAACTCTAAATGAATTATTTAAAATGCTCAATGCAATCTCGAGTCATTCGAGACTCAAAACTAGTGATCAACCTAACCCAACTCAACCCGACTTTACGTGGGAGTAGATCGGATTGGCTTTACCATCAACCCCAAATTTTTAAAAAAATTCTGAATCCATCCCAACTTAACCCCACAAACATTCTACTGATCCTAACTTCTAATCTAAGATCAATTTCTCCATTCTGATCTTTCAGTTGACTGTTGAAACTTTCAAAATCAAAAAAAGGGAATTCTTTTTTTTTTTGCATAAAACTTCTTCACCTCTCCTCAGAATCAGTAGTTTGATGTTCGTCATAATACAGAGTAATCAAAAAATCCAACACAATCAAAATCCAACAACGAACATTTCTTCTAACAAAGGCATAAATCCTAACCCAGAAACCAGACGTCAATGTAAAAAACAAACACGAAATCCCCAAAGATTTCTCAGGAGACAAAAATTGCAGAACAGGGGAGGAACCAGCAAAGTTTACATCAATATCCTCTCCAAAAGCATGAATTCAGACAAGATAACAAGAAAAAAACAAAAACACCACAGAGAAAATAGATAACAGCAGCTAATCCATAAAAATCGACACAAAACCAAGAAGACGATAGAAAAATCGTACCTGTAAAGGCGAGCTGGGAATCAAAGAGGAGGGGCATTGAGATCGAACACCACAGAGGAAGACATCTGATTCTTTAGGGCAAAATGAAGATCGGGAAGGAGATGTTGAAGACGCAAACCCTAGAAGAGAGAAGAGGGCAAAGAGAGAAACGAAAATGGAAGAAAAGGCAGGCATGTTTTTGTAGCAGCGATCGAAACACGAAGACGATGAAGAAGAAGAAGAGAAGAAAATGGATTTATAGAGAAAATGATAAGCAAAAAACAAAAAGAAAACCAAGGATGAAGCAGGAAGGGGAAAATCAAGCAAATAAGAGATCAACAAACAGATAAACACCCCAAAAAAAGTGGGGTTAAAGATCTGTTCCTCAAGTTTCTAAAAAAAGGGTACGTTTCTATCTTCTTTATCTAGATCATACGGCGGCGGCGGCGGCGGCGGCGGCGGCGGAGGCTCGGTGCAACCGACGGATTCGATCTCTCTTTTTGTGGGTTATTTTGGGGGTTTCGGTTTTCTGATTTTCCCTCAAAAGTTCCAAATAAAGACACCAATTTTCGCAGCTCCAAAAGTCAAAACCAATCGCCCAATAGAAAAGTTACAGTCTTCTTCCAGACATTGGTGATATTATCTTAAAATATCCAGAAGGCAAAGAACCGATCATTTTTTCTCTCTTTGTAATTACTCTGTTCTATCTATCTTCCGAAAAATGTGGAGTGAATTTCTTGAAAGTTTTGAGAGAATTGGATAGGAAAATGAAGATGTTCATTCATTATGGATCTGTATTTGAATTGATTGAATCTTATGGGGTTTTTGTTTTCTTGTTAAAGAGGCTGAGGACTGATTCTACTCCTTCATAGTCACCCTGTTCTGAATTTGGAAAGTTTGCATCTTTAATTTGCAAATACGAACCTTCTCTCTGGTAGACCATGGACCAGACAATTTGATATTAAAATATGTTTTTAATTAAATTATGATCTAAACACTGTTATTGATTGCATTATGAATAAGGATGTCCATTTTATTCATGGAACCCACCTAAACAAAGCCGAGAATCTCTCTTCTTCATTTAGATTCTTCTAAGATGGAGGTTCGAACTCATGATCTCTTGGTCAGAGATAATGCTTTAACCACTTGAACTATGTTCAGATTGACGTTTCAATTTGAAACTATTGATATAAAACTTCAAATTTGTTTCATATTTTGACTTCATTTCAATTTAGTCCTAAAAATTTTAATTTGACTTTCATAGTTTACTCGAACCCCACAACCAACCCTAAATTGCCTGTCACTCGATTCGAGAAGTGACGTACTTTCTCTAATTTACTTTCATCATCACATAATAGAAAACGCATCACATATTCATGCGTAATGGTAACTATATCGAAACTAAGCTGGTCAAACAATAGGAATTAAATTCGTCATTTAACCTAAAATTTAATATAACTCGCTCATGACACTTATTCGACCTATAATGAATTGCTATCATATAATATTAGATCCATTAGAAATATTACTATGCTAGTGATTGACTGCCTCATCAAAATTTAAAAATTTCATACCTTTGGGTCATAAGGTGATTCATACATTAACGACATGAACATAGTTCAATTGGTCGAGACATTACTCACCTCTCTAGAGGTAGAAGGTTCAACCACATCCACCTGTTGTTGTACTAAAAAGAATGAAAACTATGACACATTAGTGATAAAACTATGGCCTAGCTTTTATAAGTACAGTATCATATTACAGGAGTGATTGCTTATTTGTCACTTCACATTGAAATAGAGAGAGAGAGAGAGTAAGACATTATTTTCCTGAATTGTTGTTGATTTCTAGTGCTGCCAACCTTTAGACAGAGGATTGAATCCCAATAATGCCTGCCCACCAATGAAGGAAAGAAAAAAAAATTAAATAAAGTTGGTGTTAGGGACGAGGGTACATGAGATTATCATCAAAATTAGTGCTTTAAAAAACAATTCTCAAGATGAAAGAGATGGATATAGAAACGCTTCTAGTATGTATAGTTGATTGGGACTTGCTTAGTTATTATAAGGAATAACTATAGAACTAGATAGCATATAGTAATTAGAAAAGTAGTTTGTTAGATTCTTTGTAATAAATAAGAGGGACTGGGCATCGAGAAAGTAGACAAATATCACATCCTCTTGGTGGTGCCTACAGCCTTCTCTATGATCTTGCAAGACTAGAGAGCCTTGTTGTGTTAGTCTATTTTTGTGTCATTTCTCTCTAATGAATCGTTTCTTTATCCAAAAAAGAGAAAGTAGACAAATATTGTACTAGTTAAGTCTTGAATGTTCTCAAGAGGTCCGAGTACCTTTGATTACTTAGCAGAAGTACCTTGCTATTCTTTTTGATCTTTCGATACAATTTCCAAGTATTATTATTTGGTTCCTATCAAATAGTTCTACAAGTTTTACTCGTAGGACAGGACAGGACATAGCTAGCCAATTTTGGATCCATAAATCTTATAGTCTAATTGGTAGTCATGTCTTCAATAGCAGCATGGTATACGCCACATTGTTGAAGGACGTTCCACTGACAAGACAATGTCGGTTTCGACATGCTACCATGGCTGCAATGACTGGACTTAAATCTGTTTTAAGTTCCCCAGCCATAGATAGGTAGGAAATTGAAATACCGATGTCCGAAGCTTGGCATGGAAAGATAGGAGATGGGGACCTAAAGCTTCAACTTTCTTCTTTCCTCTTTCTCAAATGACCAGTGAAAGTCTTGAATTATGAGTTTGTTCAAACAACCGTCTGACCCTACTATATTTAGTTGTTTAGTTGTTTAATATTAAATCCTAGAGAAGTAGCCACCATGGTTTCAACTCATTCCCTCTAAATCTTTTACACTATTTACATTGGCCATTTTTCCTTTCTTTCGTCCTGACCACCTCCTCACCATTCTCTTTTTTCTTATGGTAAGCGCTTAGGTCCTACTATATTTAGTTGTTTAGTTGTTTAATATTAAATCCTAGAGAAGTAGCCACCATGGTTTCAACTCATTCCCTCTAAATCTTTTACTATTTACATTGGCCATTTTTCCTTTCTTTCGTCCTTTCGACCACCTCCTCACCATTCTCTTTTTTCTTATGGTAAGCGCTTAGGTCGCCTCAGGTTCATGGACTATGGACTATTGCACCTAGATGTACTAGTACAGACATAATTCTCAAAAGTTTCCTAATACAGTTGCGTCAATCCGTGCTCTTCATGTAGATGTTGATTTAGAGGATCCAGCCAATTTTTTTTTCTCTCTTCCTCCTTTAGCTCTTCTTGAAGGTACAGATTATCATCATCCTTCAAAGTGCAATGGTGTAGTGTAAAAGTGGTGACTGTAAAAGAAAATAAACCTAAATCACATCATTCATTTCATTGGAGCTGGACCATATCATGAAACACTTCATATTGTAGCAGTAGAATAAATATCCTTAGAGGGCTCATTATATTGTAATCTAGAAACTGAAACCAAATATGTCGAAGATTTACATACTAACCGCATCCGACTCTTGCACCAGCATTTCCAGTAGTCTTGCTAAGTTCATGCCCTCCTATTGCATCAACAAGTATAAATTAAGCCACAAAGAACCAACGATGAAAGGACGAAATGATGTGTGAATGACAATAATAAAATCATCATTCAAACATAATCTTTGTAACTGATCAATAGAACATGCGTGAAAGTTCACGGACAGAATGCTTGAAAGTTTAGGGATGAACCTAAAAGTACAAAGACCAAAATTGGATTTAAACCAATCCAAAAACAGGCTTTTACCTTTGCCAAGATCATCCGGATCAGCGTGCACGACTACCGCTCGGCCTAGTATTGAATGAGGTCCCTTCAGAGAAATCTACACATCAAAACAGGAGCAAAATGGAAACATAAGCTACAACTTACATCGTAGAAAATTTTTAAGGATTAGCAACCTAGAAACGGGATTGATTGAACAACCTACAAAATAAGAAGAAACACTAACAAGGATTATCCAATTACCAATCTGTTCGACAAACTTACCAGCCTATCTGTAATGGAAACTTCAGCAACCCCTGAAACATGCCACTGCTAAATGTCAAACAAGGAAGAAGCAGAACTTGTATCTGTATTTCTCACTAACATTTCAACAGAAAAACAAGAAGCAGAAACTCCACATACCATCTGGACCAGCATAGATGTTACCCAAATCTCCAGCATGACGTTCTACATCCCCAGGAGCTCCATGCCCCTTCTTCAGCGGATTAAAATGAGGCCCTAAAAGAAGAAGAAGAAGAAAACAAGCAAAAAAAGACGATTCAGGCAGCAGAACGAGGAGAATTTTGGGAGAGAGAGATTAGTGATTACCAGTAGAGTTGCAGCCATTTGTGGTATCACCGAGAGAGTGGATATGGAAGCCATGGAGTCCAGGTGAGAGGCCGGTGATTTTACCTTCGACATGGGTCGCCCCTGTTCATGTTCATAAGTTCAATTCAATTGACAATAACGAAAACCCACCTCGAATCTCGAAAACCCCTTTCGGAAATTGAGCAAAAAACAAGAGAAAACAAGAAATCTGAGACGAAAACACAGACCATTTGGGTCCTGAAAGAACTGAATGGAGCCTCTGATGTTGGAATCTCCTCCGGCGATGAGCGCCACGGCTTTGAGAGAACCCATTTCTCTCGTTTTCTCTCTATCGCATCGCCTGCCTCAAGCTCAGCGGTTAATGGGTGAGTGGCGAGTGACGGGTTATGTGTATCTGTAGGCCGTGCGGCTCTATCTTCTAAAAATGGGTGCTTTTTATGATCTTATAAAGCACTAGGCAATTTTTTTAAGAACAACCAGCGGCATTTTCTCTTATCATGGCAGTGATTCGAATTCGTACTTATTAATTAATTATCAACTCATGTTGGTGGCATTTTCTCTTATTCTTTTATATATAAAAATATTTGTCGATTAGAAACCTCGATTCATTCTTTATGTCAATATCAAATTCATAGACGTAAAAAATTCTAACCAACATCAGTCATGGATCACGTCCATCATCACACGGGCATCTCGCTATGGAGTTGGATCTTCAACCCTAGTGATATATATTGATAGAAATGTTTTTTAGGCATGTCTACACAAATTTAATACATTAAGTTTGGTCATGAACTTGAGAAATTATTGAAGGAGGTTGTCACAACTTGATTGGTAGTTTTATATCGTTGGATGTATAAGAGAAAAATTACAAAACGTATTTTAAATTTGTATCCAATGTTTTTTTTTTTTTAATAAGTTCTTAAACTTTAAAAAGTATTTAATATGTCAATTTACAATTTTCTGTTTAATAAATTAATGAAATTTTAAAAAGTGTTTGATAAGTTCTTGAAACTTTAAGTTCATGTCTAATAGGTTTTTGGACCTTATAAAGTCTCTTATAAGTCAAGAATTTATTGGACACAAAATTTTAGTTTAATGATCTATTAAATACAAAATTCAAATTCAAATATTTACTAGGTATAATGTTAAAAGTTTAGAAACCTCTTAAATTAAATTAAAAGTTTGTAATTTAATTTATTGTTTTGTTTTCATGTCAGCCAATGGAAAATAAGGGAAATAATTGTTTGTTTTGGTTTTATTTGAAAGTTTTTTTTTTTTTTTTTTTACCTAAAATCATGTCAATTTCATTGTGATATCTTCAAGAACAATGTGCAAACCCCTTTGAAAATTGAGTTTATTTATCATAGTTCTACTAACTCAGTCCATTTCAATATACCCCTCGTTTTCTTAATGGGCAGTCGTTTTCACGGGAGGTATAATTGGTAATATTTTCACTATTATATCAGGAATCTGTTAAACACAAAATTTAAAATTTATTAAACATAACAAAACTTTAGAAATTTATTATAGGTTCTAACAATTTTTATCATTTAAGAACTCAAATCATTAATTGTTTAGTTTTGAGGAGATAAAAGAAATTAAATTACAAAATTGGACCCAAAATTTTCAAAATCGTGTCTAACAAATCATTGAACTATACTCGTATAGTAACATTTCTATTTGTTGTATTTTTTGTTTCTTGTCTATAGTTTTTTAGGAACATAAACATTTGATATCTCGTTTCTCATTTTTAAGAAATGTTTCTCAAAATTGTATAGAAATTTTACAAATAACAAAATCAGGTTTCTTATTCCTTGTTCTCGATTCTAATTTTTTCCAAAACATAAATAAAAAGCATCATTTTATCATTCTTTAACTTATAAAATGCATATAACAAAATTTTGAATATCAAGAAAGAATTACCTGATACGTTAGAAATAGAAAAAAACAAAAATAAGAAACACAACATCACGGTCTAAACTTTTTAATTTTGATGTCAAACAAAATTTTGAATATCTAATAAATCAAATACCTATCCAACGCCAAAATGAGCATAACTAACGGTTGTGAGTTCATACTACTCTCTTTCTTCTGTAGTCATTTTTAATATGTAGTAGGAATGTTCGTAGATTAAGTTGAATTGTATTGAAATGACTCACGGGCTGTAAATTTATTAATTGGATTGACTATTCGAATCACTTGTTTAAAGGTTAACCTTTAAACTAATAACTTTAACAAGTCTATGAGTTGATCGAATTTTTCGAGTGATTGGATTTTTAAAAACCCCTAGCCTAGAGTATTAGAAAATTTCCCCTCCTTTTTTCTTATCCAACCTTGGATTTTGAGTAGTAAACAGATTTAAAGCAAAAAAAACCCAAATCCCCATTGTTAATCTTGAGTTATTCACCA